TTTTTTGTGTTCCACACAAAAAATAAATGCGGATGAATTTTTCATGTTGATTTTGCGATAGGTCGTGAGAAGAAATATCGTAGGTGCCGAAAACATTAGCCTATCCAACGCTGCTGGCTAGGCCTAGCCTTACCTCGATTTAGGTTCATAACAGAGTCTGTTATCACACATAAATACGGCCGACATGATATTTTCCGTTGCTAGTATTGACACTTGTGAAATATAATATTTCATAGGAATTATTTCAACTTTGTTAAAAAAACTGATTCTGACTGAGATTTTGACACTTAAACAAACATAACTCAGCCTAACCGAACGACCGCATTGTGCGAGATGCGAAGTACAAAAAATAATCTCATTAGAGAGGGCGCTCTTTATTGACTGTATAAAGTATACATAAAAGCGAGAGTATTCCAGTAGATGCGATCTACAACCTCTGAATTTGCCTAGTAACGATGAATTCGTCGAGAAAATTTTTTTTATTCTTTTGCGTAAATCTAAAATTCATGCCAATATTTTTCCATGATTTATAATAATTGGAGTAATGCAAATGCATATTTTCTAAAAAAAAGTAATTTTTAGTGAAATTTTGCCGGGAATGGGGCTTTAAATGTTGCAATTAGGGAAGGCGGTTTGGCGCAGCGATTTCCGTTGTGAAACTCAAGAGTAATCTTTTCATATTTAAACAAAGCCGAATTGGATTTTAATTTTTTACATAATTGCAAGGCATTCGGAGTTTTTCATTAGTGACAACTGAGAGTATGTTCTTAATTTATTTCAGTTGTAATAATAATTAAATGTAATGTCCAACGAAATGGAAACTTAAAATGTTATAATAAATAAGATATTCTGTAAGACCAATACACTGGAGTAACCCTCTGCTCGTCTTGAAGAATATACCCGGGTCTTTGCAGTGCACAAGATGAGTCAATTGTGTACATTGACCTATGTATATAGTCCTTATCCGAGAAGTTCCACCTCCAGAACCCGAGCTTGCTGTTCGAACCAGCGCTGATATTTATGGCTGTAGATTGCAGTGCCTCTACCTTAACCGCTCGACCATTCAGCTCGTTATGTAGGCATACTCACTGTTGCCTGTCTGAGATGATTACATTTTGGGAAGAAAATGTCAAAGGCAAGGAAATTTGAGTGTGTTTAATATTGGAACCTCAATGTCCAAATCCTCGCCTAACTATAGGTTACTAAGTAGTATGTAAAGATTTAAAGACTCCCTTTTAATCTTTATTGCAGAAATGATATATAAAAAATAAAATAATATCGACCAGTTCTCAAAAATAATACATTAAATCTAAAAAGAAATACATAAATAAAATAGAAATTAAAGCAAATGTAGTGACATTAACTTTAACTAAACTGAATGTTAAAAAAAGTTGAAATATGTAACATTAGCGCCTAAGCTCCGTCAACATGTCGCTATCTTGCCCCATAGGCCTACCAATATAAGTTCATTCTTTGAGATTTTGTAAATGGCTTATATTTTTTGTATATTGATGCCTGAGAAAATATTGATGCCTGAGAAAATGTTTTATCGTTTTTCTGTGTGTGTCATGTCTGACCTCAATAATCAACAGTAACATGTTAAATTAGTCAATCAATAATTTATATTGTTGAAATACAAATTAAAAAATTGTTGAAAAAACTGATTAAAAGTTGTAATATTTAACTTACATTGATTTCCAAAGAAACATAAACTTTTAAAATTTTATTAAAATAGCACTTTATAATAGATATTTACATTGGTCAGTAAATTACACTTTCATATGTTTATATTAATACAGTACCTACAACAGCGCCATCGACCACATTAGTGACAACTGAGGGTATGTTTTTAACTCATTATTAAGTGCATAATATTATTTTAAAATTGGTTTATATGTAATCTGGAACTATCTAGATTCGTGCAACGTGAATCACTATATAATTTAATCACCAGTTTCAAAAACCTAAAATTTGCAACGTAGGACTTAGCAGCAGTGTAATTTGAGATAGGACAACTGATAGAAAGTAGAAAGTTGTAATATTGAATTTATTGTAATGTCCAATGAAATAAAAACTTATTTTTTAAATGTAATTAAAAAAAAGATTATATTTACACTGAAAATATAACAGCACCACTGACCACATTTTGGACAACTGAGAGTGCGTTCTACTATCATATATGTATATTTAATTTGTTATCTAGAATCTCCAACAGGAGCTCTGCTATTACAACAAGAGAGACAACTGATATTTCAGTAATATTAACTTTCATTAATGTCAATTAATGTGGAGCTTGTTAAAAGTTATAATTAAGTAGATTTTGCCAATAAATAAAATATTTGTATTTATACAGATCCTACAACAATAGTGCTACCAACCACATCAGTGACAACGAAGGGTAAGTTCTTAAATATTTGGTTATTCAGAATCTGCAATAATATATCAGCCATCAAAAATAATAGATACAACTAATAGTAATAATAATTTCCAAGGAAATAAAAACTTGTCAAATGTTATAATTCATAAGAAATTTACACTCGCCATTAAATCAAATTTTTATACTTATACATGATCTTAACTCATTTTAGTTCATATTTTAAATTGATTAATATAAAGCCTTGTTAAACCCAAAAAGTAATATTTATTTCTTATACTCATACAGAACCTACAACAATAGTGCCACCCACCCCATTATGGACAACTGAGGGTATGTTCACTCATTATTATGTATATGTGTTAAAGTTTTTTCTTACTCTACAAAATCAGCTTTGCCATAAAGTTGTAATATTAAATAACTTAAATGTTCAACAATGTTAAAACTTGTTGAATGTTACAATTGATGAGAAACATATAGATATTTACACTGGTTAGTAAATTGGACTTTTGTACTTACTCAGAACCTACAACAGCGCCACCGACGACATCAGTGACTGAGGGTATGTTCTTAATTCATTATTATGTACATATTTATTTTTAAAAAATTATAAAATTGTATATAAAATATGCAACAAAATTATTGTTAATTAAAAGTTGTAGTATTTAATTTACTTTAATTTCCAACGAAATAAAAACTTGTCGAATGTTATAATAAAAAAAAAAAAAAAAAAAAAATTTAGATATTTACATTGGCCAATAAATTACACTTTTATAATTATGTTTATATTAATACAGAACCTACAACAGCACCGCCGACTACATTAGTGACAACTAAGGGTATGTTCTTAACTCATTATTAAGTGCATATTTTAAAATTGGTTTATATATAATCTGGAACTATACTATCTAGATTCGTGTGACGGGAATCACTATAATTAAATCACCAGATTCAAAAACCTGAACTTTTTCAGTGTACAGCAGTGTAATTTGAAATAGGACAACTCATAAAAAGTTGTAATATTTAATTTACTGTAATGTGCAACAAAATACAAGCTTGTTTTTAAATGTTGTAGTTAATAATAATAATAATAATAATAATAATAATAAATATCTACACTGGTCAGTAATTTATACTTTTATATTTTTATATTATTACAGAAATTACAACATCACCACCAACCACATTTTGTACAACTGAGAGTATGTTCTTAACTATTATGTAAACATTTCATTTGTTATTCAGAATCTGCAACAGGAGCTCTGCTATTACAACAAGAGAGACAACTGATATTTGAGTTAATATTTTACTTTCATTATGTCAATTTAGGTAGAACTTGTTTAATATTATAATTAAGTATATTTTACCAATAAATAAGGTTTTTTTTTTTAAATTTATACAGAACATACTACAATAGCGCCACCGACCACATCAGTGACAACAGAGGGTAAGTTCTTAAATATTTGTTTATTCAGAATCTGAAATAATAGATCAGCAATCAAAAACAATAAATAGTCAGTTGTAATAATAATAATAAATTAACTTCGATGTCGAAAGACTTTAAAACTTATCAATATTTTATAATAGACCGAATTCACCAAAGATGACGTTATTAAAATGTGGCTGATTGCGTATTAAATACATCATAAAGTTCTATGCTAATGCATTGAGCGGAGTCGAAAGTGGTGTATATTAATTTGTCTAAAATGTAATGAAGTTAGCATAGAAGATACTTCTCATAACAATGTAAACATTTTGAATGATTCATAGATTCATGAGATTAAGATGATTTGATTTTGAGAGGCCTTCTAGGTAGCATAGGCATGTCGCTAGCTCGACTCGCCACATCCAGCGCTGACTAAGGTGATTGTTGATTAGTGGTACATATTCAGCGTAAATACTGTCTCCAAGTTATTTTGTTGCAATTTCTGTATGAAATTAAACTACTGGACAAACCTAAATTGTTGAATTGTAGAATAAGATGTTTCTTTTGACTACGCTGTCCAATGAGTCAGAAGAACGTTTTGTATGACTCTCTATAGAGCTAGGCCCGTGTTCACGAGAAGAGGCTGTGCAAAAAAAATTGTTGCAGTGCCCCTGCCTTAACCGCTCGGCCATTCGGCTTGTTATGTAGGCATATTCACTGTGGTCTGTCTGAGAACATTTTGGCAAGAAAGTGTCAAGGTCAAGGTCACGGAAATTCAATTTTTTTTCAATATTGTGACTTTGATGCCAAAATCATGGCATAACGATAGGTTGCTAAATGTAGAATTTTAATCTTTATTGCAGAAATGAATTAGAAATATCCTGCCAGTTCTCAAAAATAATACATTAAATCTAAATAATTTCCTCCATTGTTAAACTAACAAAATCACTGTAAAATCTATTTTCTTCATTATAAATATATAAACTTTTAACAATATAGCAATATAGTGACATTAACTTTAACTACAATGAATTAGCGCCTAAGCTGAGTTGCTACCTACCTTTCCCCATACATATATATGTTCATTCTTTGAGATTTTGTAAATAGCTTTTTGTTTTCTTTTTAATATTGTTGTGGATGCCCAAGAAAATGTTTTATTGCTTTCTGTACGTTTCAAATGACATCTAACCGCAAAAAGCAACTGTAAAACTAATCAATCAATTATTCGTGCTGTTGAAATAAATCATTTGTGTTGTTGAAATATATTATTTGATATAGGTGATTTCTCTTTACAGATAGTTTCATGTTTGTGGCTAATCTTAATCCTCCGGGAATTTACACCTCGAATATCAGTCTTAATAGCAACACTTTGTACCTTAGCGAAATACCAGTCAATGTATCAACACCTGTAGCCCTTGATTATAATCCATTAACATCAACACTATATTGGTCAGATGTAGCCAAATCGACTATCGAAAGTTATAACTTTGACACATTTGAACAGGATGTGCTGGTTTCATCTGAATCTACAAGTAAGAAACAAATACACATGTGTAAAATTGTGTGAATTACTGAAAAATGAATAAATAATAATATTTAATTATGTATTTGTCTGTATTAAAGTTAAGCATAATCCTCAGCTAGCTCAGCAAATTAGATTATTACAGGCTAAATGTGACACAAATTCTATGTAACCTTAAACAAAATTTAATATTAAATTTAATTCAATTCAAAGTAACATTTTTAAAATTCCTTTCCAATTCGTACAAAAATATAAAACAAGATCATAAAAAATTTATGAGAAAAGGAGAAAAGCATAGACCCAGGAAGAAAATCATCTTGTGACGAGTCAGCCTGTAACAAAAAGACAAATGGCAGACACGAAAAACAAACAGAAAGAAAAATGACATGGACAAAACCGGACAAAGAAGACACACGCACACAAAAAGAAAGCAACTGCTTTTATTTTCTTGTAGGCCCCTGGTTCTTAATAGGTGATCCGCGAGCCAAATTTGGCCCGTGAGGCAATTTAATTTTGCCCGTGAGCAAAAACAATATAATGAAAAAAAAATATTTAAAACATAATTAAAATAAGAAAAATACATTTTCAATAAATTAAGGAAAAAATGCGATAAAGTAAGGAGGTAAATGCGACATGACAAAGCAACATACATTAGTAATACCTGTACTATGATTTAAAGCAAATCTAACAACAACGATAAAACCATATCCAAGAACATTAAGAGCTCTATCTAAAAAGCCAGGTCATTAAATTAATGTTGTGAAAAGTGAAGATAGTACAATATTGGTCGAAGAAAATGAAATAAAATCTAGATGGAAGAGATACTGTGACAATCCGTATGAATTATCTATGTCAGATAATGCAAATGTAGAGGATACTAAGATATTTCAGAGGGAGCCAGGCATACTGATGGCAGAGGTAGAAAGAGCTATGAAGCGCCTGAAAAATGGCAAGTCACCAGAAACTGATAACATTGCTGCAAAACTGATTAAAGAAAGTGGCGAGGAAGTAGTAAAATTAATGCGCAGTTTGTGCAATAAAATCTGGAACCAAGTGGAATGGCCAAGAGACTGGAAGAAATCCATTTTTCTTCCATTACACAAGAAAGGTGATACCAGATGTACAAATTATCGCACAATCGCACTGATTTCGCATGCAAGTAAAATCATGCTTAACATCATTGCAGACAGAATGAGAGACTCTTCTAGAGAGCATGTTACCGCCGGAACAGGTAGGTTTTAGAAGAGGGAGTGAAACACGGAATCACATCCGAAATATAAGGAATATAATGGAAAAAGAGAGAATTTCAACAACCACTTTTTACCTTTGTTTCATAGATTACTCGAAGGCCTTCGACTGTATCCGACACTCATCACTCTGGAAATTTATGAAGGAAATGGGTTTCCCAGTGCATATAATCAACCTGATAAAATCATTATACAGTGGACAAGAGGCAACAGTCAGGCAAACTTTGTCAAGTCATAGCTTCGCAGCATTGAGTGAAGCCTCCTAGCTTACATAGTGGAATTTTAATACAAATTAATTCAACAACTATTAAGTATTGTATTTGCAAAATGACAGTATATGTAATGTATTAAAATTCAGAATCTACTGAGTCAAATCAATCACTTGTTTTATTTTTGCATTGATCCAAATACAAGGCCCATACAGTGACGGAAAATTAGGTCCTATCTCGAGGTACAGGGCAGCTGATCATTCAGCTAGGCTGACAGACTTGACAATAGCGCATGCTCAAAATGTGTTCTATAAGGATAAAAAATGAATAATCCATTAGATTTTACCAAGTCAACTTGTGCTCCTTCGTCACTGTTCATGGTGTTTGCGTGTTTTCTGATGTTTATTGGCTCTTTTATTTGCCTTATTGTATATCCACTCTTTTCCTAAAATAGTATAAGTCCCAATCAAATTAGTTGTTTTCCTATATGACCAGCTACTAAATTAGGATGTTGTGCTCTTATACACATCTAGATGTGTATAAGAGACAGGGTAGGACCTATGTTGGTGGTGCTATTCTAACGTCACAACACATTCGTCTGCTGGACGAAAGTAATGAAACCTTAGTTTAAGAATTAGATCTGAGAAGTCTCTAAACGTCATGTAAGTATGTCTTCACATGAAATGGTTGATTGGAAATGAATTGATATTCTAAATACAGTAAATTTACCATGTTAACCCCCAAAAAGTAAGCCAATAAAAATATATATGACAAAATGAATAAGCTATTTTAATTTATTTACCTAATATTTAGGCCAATGCAAATGTAGTTACTATTTTATTCCTTTTAATAAATAAGTTATATATAATTGTTGGTGTAAACATTATAACATAATTGTTAAATATTAAATATAAAATCGAGACAGTACTGGGTTTATCTACAAGAGTTTGTAATTCCATTAAGTCATTCCAATAATAGAAGACTTTTTAATGGAAAAAGCGTACCTGTCGTTCATCATAACAGAAGGATTCATACTGTACATTTATACGTACGTCCATGTAGGGATTTCGTTTAAATTTGTCTATATTATCAACATTAATTTTTTATTAATTGTTTTCTAAACGTAAACTATTGTATATACTCTGTATTTACTATAAAGAGATTTTTTAAATCATGTAAGGTCTCGATTGGATGTAGTATTATGAAAAGAGATAGGCTTAGCACCTTGACCTCTGATGATGATTAGTGTCCAAAAGCTAATACAAAAAAGTAAAATTAATGAGCCATTATCATTATTATATAATTTTCTGTATAAGGCCAAATAAACAAAATTGTTTGTTTGCCCTTCTTTTTTTTTTTTTAAATAATAAATCGGGGCGGGTGGAAAAAGTTTTTTTGGTATTTTTTATTTTTTTTAAATACTCATCAGATGGAATACAAATAACCCACAGAGGCCTAGAATGGCAATATCTTACATCAGACAACAAATTTAGACTAATTTGTAGGGCATCTGGCAAAAACTAAAGATAAATTCACTCACATTTTTTTAAATTTCATTTGTAAAAAAAAAGCTAAAAAAAACCCTTTTTTTTGTTTTTCTGCCCCTATATTTTCAGTGAGTTAGAGGCGGGTGGAGGAGGGCAAACAAACAATTTTTTGGCATAATTCAAAGCAGCTCCGGATCTTTTTGTTTTTCTTCCTTCTTTAATATATAAATTCATGTACCCGTTTTCACACGTTTATTGTTTATTTGAAGGTAGTTAGGAATAATTACTCCCAAAAAATATATAAATTGAGTGATGAAGTTAGAGTATGACCTATATAATATATTTTAATTTAAACAATTTCTTCATATTTTCTTAATTAAAAAAAGTTGTTGATGGGTTATTCGTCGATGGCTTTGGACAAAAACTTTACTGGACAAGCACTGGCTTTGACCGCATTGAAGTTATTAACTTAGATGGATCAAACAGAACTATACTTTTTGATGCGTTCTTGCTCGAACCACGAGCGATTAAGTTGGATACAGCAAATGGGTATGTTTCAAAATTGTTAATACGGTTTTTAAAATTACTGGTTATTTTAATAGATATTGTAATTAGCCTTAAAAATGTATGTTTGCCCTCCTTCACCACCCAAAATTTTAGAAAATGGGTAGTTAGATGTTTAAATGGTGTGTTTAAAAAAAAAATTAATATTCCAAATAATGAAAACAAACTTGTAGCATCACATCACTGTTTGTTGTTTTTCAGTAAGAGTAGATGGAATTTTGTTTTTGGGCAAAGAATATAATAAAACTGAGGGCGATGTTTACACATGGTAGCTAACAATAACATTCACAGTAAGATTAGTACGGTACTCGACGTTGCTGTTGGAAAACTCAACATTAAACTTGCTGTATTACTACAAAGTTGAGTTAACCTTTCTATACTGGTTGATAAACTGTTAAATACCGATGTTAATTTAAAGAATCGTATATACCCCGGGTATTCAGCCTTTTTGAGCTGGTGGCCAGTTCCAATCTTTTTGAGACCAGTGGCGGGTGTCGACATAAATTGTATATTTAATTAGCCTTGGTGTTTCAACATCAATATGATAGGCCTAGTTTTGCCAAAAAGAGGGAATGCAGTATTATGGGGAAGGGTGGGAATAAACAACAGTTTTTACTAGAGGTTCACCTACCTTACAACTAGAAATTGTCTGAGCACAAACAAATACACTCCTGTACTATATTGTAAGTAGTTTCAACAATGTCAGCTCCAGAAATATTCTGACGAGGAGTCCGACACCCCTAAATGGCCCATAGTGAGCACATGTTAAACAAATAGACACCTCTAGATAGATTTCCAGTTTGAAACTGTAAAACTACTTTTTCAAAGAATTGTTTTCAACAAAATGTAACATGCCCTTGAACCCGCTCCTCGGGTCTGCTGTTGGCACCGTGGCTAGACATCGCATCTTATCTGCGCCATACCTCTTTATACCTATTAGTTTCCCCTCCCCATATTAATACTCTGCACCACTAGATAGAGTGGGCTGCACTAAAAACAACCTAGACTCTTTAGTGGTGTATCCAGGGGGTGGCTGAGCACCCCCTTTAGAGGATGAAAATAAAATAATAAAAGAAATTACTGATTGGCGAGAATGCTGCAGTATTAGAAAACGTCTGTAGGTGATAATTTCGTACTGATGGACTAATACTACGAACAGTGCGCATCTTTGCCAGGCATTACAATATTTTTTTTTCAAACCCTTACGCACAAAATCACCGCACGTAAATAAACTTAAGCGTACAATTAGTTCAGTCCCACTCTTGGGTACCCAGTCCACCATACAGTGGCGGATTCCTACGGTAAAAAAAGACAAGTTCAGGTAAGTCTCAACAATAAAGGGTGACGTAGTTACATGACGTAACACAACATTTACTGGAATGGTACATAATTATTTAGGAAAGTAATCATTCATCTTTGGAAAGAGAAGGTCGAAAGGACAATGTCAAGGTCACAACAATTTTATCATTGCTTCAACATTTAAGCGTAAAGTAATAGTGAAATTGCTTATCACGGCCTGCGTGTTTGTCGGTATCCAGGTACATGGGTGGAGGTATGCACTCAATGCAGTGACTGCTCCAATTTGTATTGTGATGTAGATATCGAAAAGATTTGCCACTTAGAATTTCACAAAATTACTTCTTACAAACATTGGCGTTACTATTTGAATGAATAAATTAGGATATATGCATGCTACATAACATCATTTAACATATGTATGTATATGTAATCAAATATGTATAATTATTTTATACATACTATTAAACATAATCACATGAATACTAATTAATTTTGTAGGATACTGAAGATGAAATAATTATGATTTTCAGGTATTTATACTGGACTGATTGGGGAACCAATGCGATGATAGAACGAGCTAAAATAGATGATCTAAGCACCCGGACGGCCATTGTGAACTCTAGTCTTTTGTACCCAAACGGGTTAGAATTATCAATTACAGGTGAGGAGAGTTATGACTAATTATATATGATATGTATTATAATAGGCATAGGTCTAAACCTAGAGTTAGAAGATAGATTTCATACCTACCTCAAACACAGACTTCTGCGAAGCATGTAACGAAATAGAAAATGAAAAATATATGCTATTAAACTGTAAAGAAAATGATTCATGTTGGAAAAAATTACATATTATGTTACAATTGTGCCTAAAGAAGCCTGATAAAGTAAAATGGATGGATATCGTACTTGCAAGCTGTGATAAGAAGACAAATGAGTTAGTTTCAATTTTAACTTTTTGTATATTTAAATGTAAAGTGATGTATAGACTAAATCTAGGGAAGAAATGTCCCTGGACAATGTTTACATTTGAGTTTAAAAGTCTTGTCACTTGTGAGTTTTTAACAAACAAAGAAAAAGCCAAAAAAAAGTGGTCAAATTTTGACTTTCAGAAATTTTGGAAAGCTGTGTTGTTATTGTCAGGTAATTTTTGTTGTGCTTTGGTTTTTGTTTATTTCTTTATAAACATAAATTGATGTGTTAAAATAGTACAAGTTACAAAAATACAAAAAAACCCCGTATTTTGAACAAAAAGTGTATATATTGCTGAAATTTACAATACAAATATGCATAAAGAATTATGATGTGCTATATGTGATGTATAATAATTTTATATTATTATGATTATGACATAATGTTTAATAAAAGGATAAAAAATATAAAAATGAAAAAAAAAAAAAAAAAAATAATAATAATGAGAAATTGTAAGCTCTTTTGAAAATGGTATCTGTGTATCTAAGGGCTTCTACAACCCGAGCGTCATTTGTACAAATTCATGTATTTGTGTTAAATGAAAAAGTATTGAAATAAAAGTGGGCGATTCCCACAAAAGAGAAAAAAAAGTATAATTATACAGCCAATGATCTAACCAGGGAAAAGCGGGCACAGGGCTCCCTCCAATTAAGACCACGTTTGGTAAAAGAGAACTGATCAATGCCGTCCGGCCTCCAACCGGGGAGACCTGCAATCCCACCTCTCCCTTTCAAATCACTTACAGTATTCAACAAATGATACTATTTAAAAAGGGCCCTAGTTAACTAAGTTGTAATTGTAAGTAGTTGTAATATATGATTCAAATATCATCTCCATAATATTTTTTTTTAGAGTTGGGAGGGATGTCATTTTGTTTGGTCCTAAGGTGGTTTGAAGATCATTCCAATATGATGGGCCATTAATAAATATAGTATAGATCTTTTACTTGTTTCTGGTCTGTTAAACGGGATGTACATATTATTAACATTTCGTAATGTTTTTGTTTCATATTTTGAAACTCAAGAAATATTTTTAAAGATGTATACAAGCAACTAATAAACCAGAAAGGTTTGTTTGAATTTGACAGGTTCTTGTTTGTGTTGTTATGTTAATACTTTCTTCAGACGTCGAACATAAGACATTGAAGTACATGGGCGGAGTGCTGTAAGCAGTCTCTAGACGTCTTAACGCTTAGCTTTAATCGTGACTCACTACTGGTCTATGATTATAGACCATCGGGCTTAAAACAATCTTAAATCATTTTCATCATGGCGTTACAGGTTCTAGACCAGGCCTAGATCGTCAAAGACTAAGAATAGAAATTTATGAGGTGAAACTCAAACAACTAAATTTCAAACTATTGCATGCCATCCTTATATCAAATATAAAACTATACCAATATGAAATAATTAGATCTCCGCTATGCACACTTTGTGGTGTAATAAATGATTATATACATATGTTTCTACATTGTAAGCGAGTAAAGGGATACAGGTCTAATATCAAACGGGTGTTAAAAAACAATGGGTTTATAGTAGATATAAATATGAATACAATTGTTAGGGAATTCACAATATAGAAGATAAATACAATACTGTAAATGAACTCATGACCTTGGCAACCTTTGCAATTTGTAAAACATGGCTAATATCACGTGAAAACATCACTGAGCTATCAAAGAATATTATACTAATCTTTTATGCTGAGCTTTAATATAGAAAAGACTTGCAGGAAAAAATTATATTAGAAAAAGCTTGTAAATTTAAGAATTTAATAATTGAGATAAAATCCATTTTATGATGTATTATGTGATTATTATTATGATTATTATTATTATTACTATTTTTATTATTAATAATATCATTGATTGTGATTATTATTATTATTATTATTATTATTATTATTATTATTGTGATTATTATAGTGGTAATTTAATGACACTTGGTCAACAAGTAAAAAAAAATGAAAATAAGAAACACCTTGCCTTTGTACACTTTCATTAAGAGATGTTAATGAATACTTTTAATGATATAATATAATGATATTTGTGAATAAATGACCTTTGGTCAAAAGAAAAAAAAGACTAAGAATAGACAAAGGCTACGTTCAGACTTGGAGATAAGCCAGGCTTGAGTTAAGCCGAGCTCAACGTTGGCCAGGCGAGAATGTGCACAATAATGAACTGTAACCAGAAAACGTGTTTCAAAACATTGGCCGTATTCGTCTGGTCATTCTTCGTTTAACCACGCCCATCTCATGCGCTCAACGAAGACGACCAGTCGAATAGAAAACTTGTAAATACTTGACAAAACAAAATGGCTGTATAGTTACCGCGATGCACGTTGCGTAATCAAAATTGCTTCAACTTGTGGTAGTATGGGTTTTTCGTAAAAAAATGTTTTCATCCAGTTTTTGAATTCTGTTAGCCTACAATTATTTTTTGACTCCATGTGGGTAAATATTATGATTTCTATTTTATGAAATTTAATCTAAGTTATATTAACGCAAATGTTGTTTATAAACTCACCAATCGGCCATGTTTGTTTTGGTCACGTGGATAACGCTGATTAACGCACTCTGGTTTACGTTAATTTTCGTTGTCAACGAAGTCTATTTAACGAACCAGTCGAATGGAAATAATACTCAACGAAAATTCGTACTCAACGAAATGAACCAGTCAAATAAGCCCATTGCTCGCGAAACGTATGTTCGCTCACAGCGTAAGTAATTGAATGCTGATTGGTCATTTTGTTACCCAAAGTCAATGCAAGACCCCCCGCAACGATTAAAGCCCGGATTAGAAAAGTTAAACACGGTGGCGCGCCAGGCCTAGTTAATATAGGAACACAGCCCGGCTTGAGATAAGCCTATTTCAGACTGGCAGGTGGATAAACCCGGTGAGTTGAGCCGTGTTTATCCACCTAGTCTGAACTAGGCCAAAAAGCTTCTCAGCGTCTCTAAAAACCATTCTACGATTTACGTTCATTGTAATTAGTAAGCATGCTGTGAGCAAGTGTAACAGCGCCATTAATTTTATGTTACCAGGGAGTGCTTGGTTGCATTTTAATACTCAATGCGGTCTAAGCGAAGACCGTTTTATAGCAATGGTCTTAGCAGGATGACTTTAGTTAGACCATCTAAATGATAAAGCCGGCTTTATTTTGAGGAGTTGAGACTACTCAGTTAAGACTGTTTTATAGCAATCCACCCATGGGAGTGCTTATTAGCATTTCAATACTCATCGCGGCTAAGCGAAGCGAAGACCGTTTTATAGTAATAGTCTTTAGTGGAGTGACTTTAGTAAGACCGTCTAAGTGATAAAGCCGGGTTTATTCGAGAATACTACTAGTTAAAACCGTTTTATAACAATCTGCCCCAGAAAGTAAATGAACAAAGAACACATACTATATGAACTGTCCATCCTAAGCAATTCTTCATCGTTTACGTCAAAGATTAAATTGAAAATAATTTTCATTAATTAAATTCAATATCAAGATTTATATTCGTTATTTCATTACGAGTATGACAGCACATTACTTTTATGATGTAGGCCTATTTGACAAGAACGAGAAAAAAAATGGAAAAACCTATAATTGTTTTGTACAGTTATCGATTACAGGAATCTCCCTATTTTTAAATCCTGTATTTATAATATTTTTAGATAAAAAGATTTATTGGTGTGATGGTGGAACCGATGTAATTGAGGAAGCAAATCTGGATGGTAGCAGTCGTCGCACAATTATTTTTATAAATTCTGGCCACCCGTTTGGTCTTGAACTTTATGGAAACTATCTGTACTGGACCGACTGGAATGGACGTGGTATGTATCGTGTGAATATTCAAACTCAGATAGCTACCATTGTTAGTAATGATGCTCGGCTCTATAGGCCTGGAGGCATTTATATACATCAGGGTAAGTGTTTATCTTGTTAAACAATTGTACAATTCACATGTTTAATAAACCATTAATGGTTCAGTGATTACCAGTATCAACGTATTGCAGCACTGTGCTTATGTATTATGAGTGAGTGGTGACGTCATCATTTTTTTTTTGCACTGCATTTTTTAATTTCTACTGATCACTAATTTGATATAGTGCTTCTGATTTATTGCGTCTTGTGTATAAAAAGCTCACAGCTGGGGTGATTTTACTACAGTACATCACGATGGATTGTTCCTAGGCCAAGCATGAACGCAATGAACCTAACAAATCTCGTTATATGAGGGTGGTTAACACGAATGAAACCTAGACCTTCATAGGCAATGCATAAAGGCAGAATGGGTATAAGATAACAAGGTGATTTCTTATGATAAAACTGAAAAAATTAAGCAATGCTGAAGTAATAATTTATAATAACGTTTACAATGCATTTTAATCTATTTAGTAAATGTGTATGGAGCCATGGCACGGCAGAATCTGAAACACCGATTTTTGAAATAGTAATGCAATAATATATTATTTTATAATGCAAAGAATTGTATTTTTAGACCAATTGTTTTTGTTGGATTAGTTGACACATAATTTGTGGAAACCTAAAATGATTTTTTTTTCTGATGTAGTTCATGCCAGGAGATTAATAACAGAAATAATGTTTTGCCTTTTTGACGTGTCATCGTAATAAATGCTCAATACGTTCCCAAATAATTGCGAAAAATTCACTTGTGAAATAGTTTTCGTATGCGGGAACATACACTGAGCACTCAGCACGATAACATGTCAGGTAGGGCGAAAACATTATTGCTATTAAGTGATTTCTTATTAGTATAATTGTTATTATTTTCTCCAGAAGATCAAGAAAACCCCGAAATTATTGATTGTCCAAATGATATAACAGTTAACACAACCAATGGGCAACCAGTTGCTGTTAATGTCACATGGACAAAACCAACTGCTATTGATAATTCCGGAGAAACACTAGAATTAGAGTCAGACTACACCTCTGGTGAAAATATGTTTGTGATTGGAAACACAACAGTGCAGTACAATGTATCAGATTCAAGTGGTAACTTTAATGACAGGTGTAGCTTTACCGTAACTGTTGAAGGTACTGTAATTTATCTATGTTTTGTTTGTGTTGTTTTAGAGCTAAATTCTCTCATTCTCTATTGTAATGATTATATATTTCAATATGCCTACCCTCACGGTTTTTAAATCATGCCGCCTTACACATACGAAATGTTTCATTGTAGATTTATAATCACCATGTCGATTAGACCGATGCAGGCTCATGCAGAAAGTTTATTTATAATAGTATTATTTAATAAATCTATGATGAATAATTAAATAACACCTCCGTAATATAAATAACAGTATGAAAAGAACACATAAACAAAACAAACAGCCCTTCAAAATTCATTATAAAAAACATGGTCCACAGTACACTTATGCTCAGTGGCGTTTCTAGGGGTCTTGAGCGTGCGCCCCCGCGCCCTTCCCTAGTAACGCCACTGCTAAAGTCAAATACTTCTAAATACTAATACCATTTGCCCCTAATACCATGTCTATCTGTTCCATTAACTCACCAATACTATTTGTTACTTAATAGTAAATACTTGGCCCTTATTATATGGCAAAGGATGTATCCAAAAGTAAACTTATTCCTTCTCAACTTTTTTCATTTGTGTTATTGCATTTGTCCTTGTCTAACTCTTAGTTGTGGTTGTCATTATGTATTGTTACTTTCATTTTTTTCATTTTTATTTCAGCAATATTGAAAGAGGGTAACCATTTCAACTTCCCTGAAGGGAGGCTATGTTCAGGGGCCCTCTTTAAAATATAAACATCGTACAATAAATGTCCACATGAAATGAACAAAAAAGGAGACATTAACACAAATATATGAATTAATACAGGAAATTATAACAAATTAATACAAAAAATAAATGAAATCGGGTAATGTTATTATAAATATAATCAATCCCTTATTTACAAACATGAAAAAGGCAATAACAGTGAAAGATTAAATTTATCAAAAAAGAGTAACTGTACAATTTATTATTTTTATAATTAAAAATAAACTCCAAATTTCTCCATATTTAATATACAATTTATAGTTTCGTTTAAAAGAATAAAATGAATCAGACTTTCAAAGATGATCAGGAAGGATGTTAAATAAGGTAGGGGCAAGGAAGCTAAATGCTCTTTTATAGCATTCAAGTCTTGGCTTGGTACAATAAAATCCCTTCTCAAAACAGTTCTCATTATGGTGGATCAAGCAGGAGTTTTTGACAGACACATATTGATATAGTCAGGAGCACTAGTGTTGAAAGTCTCTGAAAGTGAGGCAGCCCAACAGATATCGCACCCTTCCACACACACACATGACATTAAGTGATGTTAGTAAGGAATTGTGTGAAATGTGGGAAAGATGTGTTTTAAGAATTTTTCTCATTGTTCTATTTTGAAGCCTTTGAATTTTAGTTTGGCAAGTTACTTGTACCCCACATGATGGAACCATAATCGTTGTGCGGAAGAAACAAAGTTTTATAAAGTAAAAGTGCCGTATTAGTATTAATATATTTTCTCACTCTGGCCAGTAGGTGAATCGTGATAATTTAGAGCTGAGCTTACTGACATGAGTATCAAATCAAATCAAATCAAATATTTTAGTTCCATACAATTAAAGTAATACAATATATAGTAAGAAATGCAGAAATTGAAACCGTATGGACGGAGGCTACAATAAAGTTATGAAAGGAGAACCACAAAGGTTTAAGGACGTAGCCACCTTTTATAAAATGTGACCAGTACCATTTACTTATACTTAAATAGCTAAAATAAAAGAATCACGGAAATGATATACCAATAAAATTATAATAATTACAATTTAGTTTATATACGCATTTATAAAATATGCCAGTCAAGCTTTTTGTCGATGTGAACACCTAGGTGTTTGTGCACAAAAATTTCTTTAGGTTGCTTTAAAGCAATTGTTATTAATCAGATCCTTACAAAGGATACTGATGCATTTCTTATCCTTATGTTGTGCGGAGACTGCACAGAGTTTATTCCTAATCTAACCAATTGACTTGGCTCATTTGATTTTTGATGATTTTTGTAAATCTTATATTAAGAAGGCATGGGCAAAAAGAATTGAGATTAAAAATGGTGCTATATTATGATTTTTATTATTATTATTATTATTGATATTATTATTATTTTTATGTGACTTAATTTTTTTAATTTTTTTTTTTTTTTGTACAGTACTTCCTTTTTATTGATTTGCATCTCACTATGTATTTTATTTTGTTAATTTTGAAGCACCATTATTGTGATGAGTGCCTTAATGGTTTGGTTAGACTTTTTACTTCATGCTTTTTTATTGTATATTCCTTTGTTTGGTTTTGCGACTTTCTTTGTACATTTCATTTTGTTACTTTGGATGCACCATTATTGTAATGGGTGCCGCTGTTTTAAAAGCGTTTTTCCGAAATAAATTATTATTATTATTATTATTATTATTATTATTAGATCTGGTTTTAAGCCGCTGAGGTGTGCCATGAGCATTACCTCAGTTTTGTCAATATTGAGTGTAAGTCGATTAGAAGCCAGCCAGATATTGATAGTTTGCATATCATCAGATAACCTGTTGTTAATAACATTATTACAAGAATGAGAATAGTAAAGAGTTGTGTCGTCAGCATAGGTCAACATAGCTGTGCTTAATATCAGAAGGTAAATTTTAAACGAAAATAGTGGAAAGAATGGAACCTTGTGAAATACTGGACTTAATGGTGCAGGGTTGAGAGTGTATGTTTACAATTTGTGTACGGTTGTGTAAGTATGATCTGGACCACTTTATAGCAGATGGCCGGACTCCAAAATAGGACAGCTTCTTTAACAATGTTTTATGATTTACTGTATCAAATGCCTCATTGAGGTCGATAAAAAAAAAACTACACCAGTCACGAATCCAGCATTCATGCTACTAAGCCAGATGTCGTAAATATTAACAAGTGCATTAGTGGTACTAATTAATATTATTATAATGTATTTACATTTGTGCAGATAATGAGGCTCCTGTTATAACTTGTCCTACAAATGTCACTTCAAACAACTACATTGCTGAATCTCTTGGTGTGATAAATGTTAACACAGATGAAGGAAGTCCAAATTCCACAGTTACTTGGGATCCACCTGTCGCATTTGACAATAGTAATGAAAATGTGACAGTAGTATCATCACCATACCAGTCAGGGGATATGATTCCTGTCGGAAATTCACCTACTGAGATCGTCTTTACGGCAACTGATCCTTATGGTAATGCTGATAGCTGTGTCTTTGTTATCCAAGTCCAAGGTAAAGCTTTCCTGAAATATCTAATCACACATTGTTGTCAGTGTAATATAACAGCATTTATTCTACCATTGATAAATAATTTGATTTTCCTGATTCAAAACCACACCAATTAATGAGTTTTTGTGCAGAAATTTTCCATTCCAACAACATTTAAAATATATTTTTTTGTGATATAATTTAAAACCTTAGTGCACAGTTGGCTCATGTGCTTTAAAGTACCCAGTACATCTTTCGAGATGAGTAGGTGTTATCCCAGTTTACTGGTCCATACAACGCCTACTGTCTTGTGAATGGATATCTAATTTATAGTGTGATTTAGTTAACTGTTCTGCATATCCTTGGCCCTAGTACCTAAGGCAGAATAAATAAAACAACAAATTTTTTCTGACTTCTACTTATAACCAGCATAAGGCATCGCGCCGTCAGGGCTTACACAGTTTTGTAGGACAACCCGTTGCAATGTTTTCCAGGTTTAGACTCGTTTTCGGGAATATTCACCAGTTCTGTAGTTTCACATTTCCAAATGTAATAGTGTATTACTTAAATATTTCTTTTAGATAACGAGTACCCGGTGTTGCGATGCCCAGATGAAATTGTCATGGCTTCAACAGACACAAATCTCTATTATTCCACTGTGTATTGGAATGTATCTGTTACAGATAACTCAGGCTCAGCAACCGTAAATTGCACAAGCAAATCTGGTGATCAATTTAATGCTATTTGGCCAGTAGCACAACAACCGGTTACATGTTTGGCCGTGGATCCATACAACAATGTTGAATCATGTATATTTAATATTACTGTTTATGGTGAGCTGTCTCTTATACACATCTAGATGTGTATAAGAGACAGGTCCAATGGAGGTATAAACATACGATAACAAAAATTATATAAGATTCTTCCCTATAAAATTAAAGCGAGATTCATATTGAGAGCGGTACTTTTCGGGATCTTTAATTATATTGGTATTTGTCTCACTGTGTTTGTTACTTCGGATAAACAAGTCTTGTCAATTTTGACCATTAATTATGAAATATATTTTTTCCTTTTTTTCTGTGTAATTTCCTTGGATTCAAATCCATACCGTAACCTGCACTGTCGTTAATCTATTCATGCTGCTGGATCTATCATGTACTTGGATAATTAAACAATATGCAACTTAAGTAGTTTCAATTACATTTACTTTATTTTGATTTCACATGATACAGTAAGGTCTATAGTGTTTGATTTGCAAATTATTGCTACAATTAAGGTTAATTATACTGCAACTTAAAATAAAATTACAAAATATATGTATTATCTTTGTCTACGGGTACTGAAGCTGTATATTTTTTTATTTTTATTTTTCTTTATTCTGTCGAGTATGAATTTGCCCCTTTTATATTTATATATGACAAAATAAATTAAATCGATGCTACTTCGTTT